CCAAAATCATCTTTATAGAGTATTATGGCTCTAGCTGCAATCAAAGGGATGACACTTCAATAGTTAGATGTTAACAACGCTTTTTACATGGAGAATTAAATGAGGAAGTGTACATGGAACTTCCTCCTAAACATCCTAAAAAGAAAAAAAAGGAAAAGTATGTAGACTTCAAAAGAGCTTGTATGGACTTAAGCAAGCATCTTAACAGTGGTATGCCAAATATTTTGAGTTTATTACTCAACAAGGATTCAAGCAATCCAAGGCCGACTACAGTTTGTTTATAAGGACCAATGGCGAAAGCTTTACCGTACTACTTGTATATGTTGATGACATTATTATGACAAGTATTGATGAATCTGTTATTAAAGAACTAAAGATAACATTGGATAATAAATTTAAAATTAAAGATTTAGGAAACTTAAAATATTTACTTGGTATTAAAGTTGCTAGGTCAAATGAGATGGGTTTATATATGCCAAAAGAAATATGTCCTAGACCTTTTGAAAGATGCAGAGGTTTTAGGAAGCAAGACCTCATCGCTCCCCTTGGACCAGAATATTAAACTTTCGAAGGATGAAGGAGAGCCAATACAAGATCCAACAATGTACAGGAGGTTGATTAGAAGTTTGATGTACCTCACATTGATAAGACCTGATCAGGTTTACTCTGTTCAAGTTCTAAGCCAGTTCATGGAGAGTCCTAGAGATTATCACTTAAGGGCTACATATAAAGTTCTAAGGTATGTTAAGGGTACACTAGACCAAGGTTTATTTTACTCAAATACATATGATAAAACTAAATGCTTATACTAACAGTGACTGGATGGGATGCCCAGACATGAGAAAGTTTGTTACAGGATATTGTATTCTTCTAGACAATTCATTGATATCTTGAAATTCTAATAAACAACAAACAGTTTTTAGATCTTCAACAAAGTCAGAATATAGAGCCATGGCCAGTGTGTGTTGTGAGTTAACTTGGATAAGATACTTACTTGATGACCTTAAGGTATGTAATTTAAGGGCAACAGACTTATACTGTGATAACAGGGCAGCCATACACATAGCTACTAATCTTGTGTTCCATGAAAGAACTAAGTACATTGAGATAGATTACCATTTAGTTAAGGATAAAGTACAAGACGGGAGTATAGTTACGAGACATGTGAATAACAAACAATAACTAGCAGATATTTTAACTAAAACTCTATCTAGTTGGCTTTTCAAGGAGCATATGATCAAGATGGGAGTAGAAAACATCTACTCACTATCTTGAGGGGAGATGTTATCGGGCTTGTATAAAACATGTTGATCCGGCCTAGTGACAAAAGACCAAAACGCACCGGTTCACTAAAGAGTGATCCAGTGCATTCGAGCTCATGTAAGCTTCGAGATAAAACATGTATTTAAACCCGTATTCTTACCCAAGAAACTCTAATTTTTTCTCCTCTCTAGTACCGCTGGCGGACATTGAAAGCTTTTAATTTGCTTTTTTTTTCTTGCATTTTGTTTCTGGTTGTTTTGCAAGTGAATACATACACACATCTCACACCCATTCCCACGAAAAACTTCTCTCTCCATTCACTCGACTCAGCGCCTTCTGCCTTCATTGAGCTTCTCTCTTCGTTCGCTCGCCTTCGTGCCTTTCGCCTTCGTCGAGTTTCTCTCTCCATTCACTCACTTCTGCGACTTTCACCCTCACTGAGGATCATCTGCGCAATCTGGTATTTTTCTTCAACTTTATTTGTTGTTTTTTTTATACAAAACGTTGATTTCTGGGTAGCTAGAATGGTTAACTTCATTTTCTTTCATCATTGTATGGAGTAACTCAAAAAAATAACAATAGAGCCTTTATAATGTAAGAAAGTTAGCAAATTGGTGTTTTGAACCCATCACATATGAAATGAAGTGTTGCCCTAAAAAAACGTGTAAGTAATGGAGCTGAATCCCTATAAAATAAATGTGTTAGTCCATAATGTATCAAAAATAGGCTGCAACATAGAATTTCACATGGGTGTTAGACTTAGATCTCTTAACTAAGAATATAATTAGTTGTATATACTGTATTTCTTTTTTATTTCAATATATATTACGCATTTATCATAAATAATAATAATAATAAGAATATATATGTTGTCTGAAATGGAGCAAAGATTTTAGTGATATAAAGTCGATTATAGCGATGAGCTGACTACCGGCCAAACGAATCTACAAAGATCTTCCACGAGTATCACAGTCGTCGACCGATTCCAGCGCGTCTCCGTCACGGCCATTTCATGCAGGATAAGTAAGATAAGAGTAAAAAACACTTGGGGTTTTACGAGCGCTTTACGTGGCGACTGCATGAAAATTTTGTTTTTAAGTCGACGTGTCGTGCACGCGCTCGTAATGCGCTTGAGAAAAATATACAAGTCATGTTTTAAACAGAAAATCTGAATCATCGAATCATATCGGGTCATATCAGATCTCTGCTTCTCTCTCTCAGTTACTTGTTGCGGTGTAATCAACCCACTTGGGCCCCACTCTCCTCCTCTTTTCTTCGCACGTGCGGCCATTCCCTCCCACGTGCCAATCCAACTGTAATAAAAACATATTGCAGCTTTGAGAGGGGAAAAAAAAAAAAAACAAAGGAAAAAGTGAAGAAAGAAATCTCAAACTCTCATTTCGTTTTTAATCTTCCCGTTTGGAATAGTACAACGAGAAAACATCCTGACTACTTAAGAGTACCTTTTTCTTCTTTTGCAATTGTCACAGGGTCTTTCTGTATGGACAAAACCAGGAAAAAAACTACGGGACTGCCATTAACCTATCAAAGTTCATGATCAGTATCCATTTCAGGACCTAGAAGCCGTAGATTTAGAGAGATGGAAGTTGGTGGAAACATTTTCAGTAACAGTATTGGTAATAATTGGGACATATGGGAGCTCAACGTCAACGCCTCTGCATCCGGCAACCTCTACACCCCACAGCCGCAGACGGCAGGCAGCACGAATCCGCAGGTATATCAGCACTCGCTGTATTGTGGAGATGGATCTCGGTTGCACCCGGACCCGCACCTGATGTGCTTGAAACTTGGCAAGAGGCAGTATTTTGAAGACGCTAATACTCCCGTCGTTGAGCGACTCAAGAGAGGTAAATCGTATTACGGCCTTAGTGCCGGCGGGAGTGGAGGAGTCGTGTGTTCGGCGACGGCGGTGCCGGTGCCTAGGTGTCAGGTAGAGGGTTGTGACGTGGCGCTGGTCAACGCCAAGGACTATCATCGGAGACATAAAGTTTGTGAGATGCACTCCAAGGCGGCCAAAGTGGTGGTACTAGGGATAGAGCAGAGGTTCTGTCAACAATGTAGCAGGTAACGTTATCATTGCCTTTATTCATAAAGTAATTATGTCATAATATTGGCCAGCTTTTTTCACTTTTTTTTTTTTTTTTTTTCCATAAAAATTATTATGTATTACTTTAATATTAATATGAATTTTTTTCGTGGTCAATTTTCTAATTAGTTAGCAGTATTTATAATTAATACTTAATATATCTTTGTGGGAATGTATAGTGTTTGTTGTGCATATAAGTGGCTGACGTGTACACTGTGTATATATATATATATTATATAGGTTTCATGTAGTGTCAGAGTTTGATGACTCGAAGAGGAGTTGCAGGAGGAGATTAGCCGGGCACAATGAGCGAAGGAGAAAGAGCTCCCACGATTCTGTTGCTAAGAACTCTTCTCAAGGTTAGTGGGGAATGGTTTAAATATTTTCTTTAACACTCTTTCCCACCATAATTTGCATGCCGCATACCCTTTTATTTTTGTTTCCCAGTTTGATTTTTATATATTTTTTTATTAACAATTAATTGCTTTTTAGATAATTGAATTTAGAAAAGAATCATCTCTTTCATTTGTATTATATATGAATATTTAACAGTCAAAATTAAAAATAAATCTTAATTGTAAGTAAGATCACTAAGAAACACTCCTCTATTTTTTAACTACTTAAGGTCTTTTTTTTTTTTTCCAGTTTTTAAAATAGTTTGAAAATAACTTTCAAGAAAAATATTTTAAGATGAAAAGTAATATTTAGTAAAATTTGATTAAAAAGTAATTTTAGTGTGTGCTATTATTTTTAGCTGATTATCTTATAAAATTAGTAATAAATGTTGAAATGATAAAACTTGCATAGTCCTTAAAAAAATTAATTGTTATAATTATTTAAACAAAGTTAAATTTAAAAAAAAAATAATAATAATTTATATTATTGTAAAATATCTATTTTATTTTAATTATTTTCTTTATTTGTTTCACATAAAAATTGATTTTAAATTATTATTATTTAATTTAAACAATGTATGATAAACATAAATTATTGATAATAAATTATTATTATTATTATATTTTAAAAACATTAGATTAATAAATTAATAAAATATAAAGCTAATGAACGTAAGCATCAAAAAAATATTTTTTATTTTCTATTATAAATATTATTTCTTAAAAATATTTATTTATGAAAACTGAAAAATATAGATATTTTAGCCAAAAACACTCTTGATTTTGAGTGTTTGGTGGTTAGGTCTTTTCTTTTTGATAGAGACAAAAAAAAAAAAAAAAAGGAAAAAGAAATCAGGTTAAACATGTATTTAAACATGCTTTGTGGTAAAGTATAAAATAATTAGTTGAGCCATATTTAAATCAACTTGAAGTTCTTAGGGTGATCAATTTAGTCAATCATTTAAGATGGTATCAGAGACAAATGCCTAAGTATCTGAATGCAAGTTGTCCTAATTCGTAAAAAGTTAATTTTCCACAAGGTTGAACGCGTATCCAAACTTCTATGTAACTCCTATGCACAAATTTTCCAAATTATCAACTTTCCAAAAGTGAATGTAGAAAGAAATTCAATCAAACTAATCTTGTAGAGTGAAAAAAGGATGCTCAAAAGCCTATGAAAACCGATTTAGAACTAACACAAATTGATATTGAGAGTGGATGAACCAGTAAGTCGAACAAGATGAAAGTATAGAATAATTAATTGATTCATTTCCTATTAGGTTAAGCTTTTGTGATAATCTAATCAATTTTCATTTTCATACATTTGAAGAGATTTGATTAGGACAGCCTTACTAATTTTTTTGTAATCTAATATTTTGATAGTGGATATTATTTTTAATTTTAGATATTTTCATGTCACTTAAAAATATTTAGTAAAAGTAAATATAATTATTCGTCAGCCCATTTAAAAAAAAAAAAAACTTCACTTTTTTAATGGTTGGAATTGATTGTATTTGATGATACACTATTTGGGCTTGCAATATCTTTCAACGTTAAAAGCTCAAACCCTTTTCGCCATAGTTCCTCTTTTCATTCTTGTTAGTGTTCACCATGTATAAGACATGTAATATTGGGGTTTATTGTCTCTAAAATTTTCTAGGTTAAGGAGTTTGAACTTTTCTGTGTCAAAAAATTACTGTCATTTTCATAAGAATGAAAACAAGTTTATAAAGTTTATTGTTGATGTCAATATATATATATATATATATGCATAAAAGGCACCCTTTCAAGAATATAACAGTCGGTTCTTTTTTTGAGTGGAATAGAAAATGAACCATTAATAAAATAATAGGATGAACGTCATCCGGTTCAAGCGAAGGAACCAAAAAATTAGATGGTTCTTGACTAAGAAAACTCCCATCCGGAGTATAATGTGCCTTATTTTCCAGTACATAGCAACCGAATTCAAGAAATCCTTGTAAAAGAAACATATAAAAATAAACATGAAAAAGAGAAAACATCTTCTGTTAACAACACTTTCAAGTTAGATGTATCACTCAGAATTAAGCATAGAATAGATTCTCTGTGCATCTCCTTCAACTTGAATGGCTTACATGTAAGAAATTTGATACAAAAGTTAATTTGTGTAATTTTAATACATCTTAAGAAAATTAAAAAATTAAAATTACGTACCATTCGAAAAATAATGCGACTATAGTATGATTGAAAGATCAAAATTTTAAAAAACCTTCAATTCTCTTATTCACTTCTTTTCTCTATCTAAATAATATACATAGATATTCATCAAGATACATTTTTCTTTATAACGATTATCTATTATTTAGTCGTACTTTTAGTTGCCTCTAACCGTTATAAATGAATGTGTAAAAATAAAAATTATATTAATGAGTCGTTTCACTTCATTACTAGAATTAACATTCTCTTACTTGACCAATTAACCCGATTATTAAAACTATAATGATATATATACATTTTATACTAAAATATATTTGTTGATATATGAATTTAATACGTGATCATATAAAATTAGCCAACAAACTCAGCATTACTATATCATAATACTCAAATAATCTTAGATTATAAATGCGAACAATAATATGACTTTAATGTCATATTTTTTTTTTATATACCATATATCAATAATCCTTACTAATTCAGTCCATAATACCAAAATTTTGCACTTATAATTGAAAAAGGAAAGAATAGATATAAACTTTATGCAAAATATCAATTACACCACCACTCAAATATCCATCATCATATATATTATAAATTACTCAAAAAACTCATTCTTATAACATGTTCTACATATATTTTTTGGAGACTATTTTAATCAATGAATCAACAATCATAAGTATAGTTTTAATATTTTTAATTGACACTTGTTATTTTTGGACTCTTTCTTTAACAAATAAGTACTTTAAGTTTATGTGTTTAGATCCACTGGAATATTTGTCATTCTTAAAGAAGAAAATAGTTGCAGAGTTATCACAAAATATTCTCAGTGGCTTGGTAATAGAATCGACAACTCCAAACCCTGAGATGAAATTTTATAACCACAAAGCATGACTTGAGACCTCAAAACGTGTTATAAACTCGACCTCCATTATGGATGAGGCAGTAATTGATTGCTTTACACTCTTCTACGAGATTGCCCCATTTGTTAACATAAAGATAAAATCAGAAGTTTACGTTAACCTATCAAAGCAACCACCATAATCTTAGTCTGAGTATCTAATTACCTCTAATTGTTATGATATTTTATATATGAACATATAATCCTTTGTCCCTTAGAAGTATCTCATAACCTTCTTTACAACTTTTCAGTATTCATTTCTGGATCATTTTGGTACCTTCCCAATATACTAACAACATAACTGATATCTAATCTAGTACAGGTTTGAGTATATATCAAACTTCTTATATCAGATGCATAAAGAATTTTCTTCATCTATTCTCTTTCTAAGTCATTCATTGGGCACTGACTTTAATTTGTCACCTCTCAGAATAAGTACAACATTGGTTAAATATAACTGCATATTTAATCTCTCTAAAACTCAGTTAATATATCTTTTATGAGACAAATCCAATAATCATCAAGATCGATCTCTGAAGATTTTTATTTCAATAACATAGGTTCCTTCACACATATCAACCATCTAAAAATTTTTAGAAAGATACTTCTTGATTTCGTATAACAAATCAAGATCACTATTATATAATAAAATATCATCAACAAATAGTATCAGAACTATAAATTTACTCGAACTGATTTTTAAATATATGCACTACTAATATTGTTTTTTTAAAATTTAAAAGATGTAATGCTATCATTAAACTTTATATACTATTGTCTGAAAACTTGTTTAAGGCCATATATAGATTTCTTTAATTTGCAAACTAGATGTTCTTTTTCTTTCTTTGCGAGTTCTTCAGTTTGTTCCATATAAATATCTTCATTCAAATTCCTATTCAAGAAGACAGTTTTCACATCCATTTGACATAATTCTAAATAAAAATGTACTACAAGTGACATAATAATTCTAAGAAAGTCATTTTTAGAAATTGGAGAAAAGATATCTCTATAATTTATACCTTCATTTTAAGTGAAACTTTTGGCTACTATCTGGTTTTAAATCGTTCGAAATTGCCTTTAGTATCGCGTTTCCTCTTGAAGACCCCACCCATTTACAACTGACACTTTTATAATTATTGGACAATTTAATAAGATCAAGATACCGTTATGGTCCATAAATTTAAACTCTTCTTTCATAACTTTTATTTATTTATTAGAATCATCACTTTTCATGACCTGTGAAAACGAAACTGAATCTTTTCGTATCCTAATATCAAAATCAGATTCTTATAGATATACCATTTAATCATCTAATATGACATATTTTTTTTCTCTTTGAGATCTTCTCAAAGGCTTTAATTGAGGTTATTTCACAACATTTTCAATGACGACATCTTCTTGTGGTAATGGACTATTTCCATTATGTAACTCATTTCCTGTAACTTGTTGAAAAAGTTGAGAAAAAATTGTTTATTGAGGCAAAAAAAAAAAAAAAAAAGTGGGATATCCATTTTTATTTCCTTAAGGTATAGTTTTCTTGGTTCATCATTCCTACTAATTTCGTTATTATTTAAGAATCTGACATTATCGGTCTCAACTATTCTCGTACAATGGTTACAACAGTAAAATATATTTCTTTTAGACATATTTGGATAGCTAATGAGATATCTAGATACTGTTCTTGAATTTAGATTTTGTTGTGAGGATTTAAGATTCTTGCCTTCGCTGAATAACCCCATATATGTAAATATATCAAATTAGGTTTCCTACCGATTCACAACTCAAAAGGAGTTGCAAGAATTACCTTACTAGAAACTTTGTTCAAGATATACATTGCAGTTTTTAAGGATTCATCCCATAGAGAAAT